CTAACAGAATATCATGATGACAAACCATGTCATTCAATTTGTCCTCTGAGAGCTGGCCCTTTTTCTTGTCTGACATCATTCTATGAGTTTGTTCCTGATGGCAAGAAAGTGATTCAGTTAAGCCTTTTGCATCTTCAGCAATTGATCGGTTACACAAATCACTAGCTGACTTGACACAGGGAAGCTTGCATATGAACTTAATTTTCTTGCCTACAATGCTGGGGTCAAAGAAACACCACACCCAGGAGGTATGTGTCTTGATCAATTCTTGGGTTTTTTTCTAGGCACTCTTGGAGTTCTAGTGATCTTCTTGGCAAATTTTATTGCAGAACAGGACATTGATGTTCTATGTGTCGATGTTTGTGGCATCTTATCAACTTCATGGTGTGTAACCAGAATCAAGATTGACACAGCTCAACACGTCAACCCCTATTGAGACCAGGGCGCCCTGGTAAAGCCCCTGTTCACCAGGGCTTTTCCAGGGCAGGAAACACTGGGTGTAAGGCCATGATCCCAGCCATGCCCCAGGCCCTGAAAAATAGGACAGGTGTGAGTGTGACATCACACCCATCTCCAAATGCACATTCCAAATCCACTGCACAAAGACCTTTTACAGCATATCAATCACACTGAACAAACCAAGTGTGTTCTGGAAGTGATGATTTTGCTGCTTGAATTGCTCCAAACAAGTTTAAGGTATGCTTGTACAGAAAATTGAAGTCCAAAAATGAACAGTCCGCTGTGGACAACAATATTTGACGGCACAAATGACCCTTCACAGGGGGAAAAATAGAAGTTCACATAAATGTGAGCAGAGAAAGTTTGGAGGTTTCTCCAAGATTTTTTCCACTTTGTTTCCAATTTCCTTCCAATTTTCCTCCAGTGTTCTTTCAGCTCATCATCTGATTAAATGGGCAGCATGGCCTGAGCAGATGAGTTAGGCCTTCCTCAGGCTGTATCCCTTAGCCAAGCAGCTTGAGGGAGGGCTAGCAGGACCCCGGTATGCTCTTATCAGGGGTACAGATCCAAAAATGTGACTTTTGAGCTCACTCGGAAACTTGTCCCTGGCTTTACCCATAGCTTTAAGACAGGTTTAGTCTTTTTAATCAGCTGTATTGGACTTAGCAACTCTGAAATTCAGGCAGAAACCGGTAAAATCCAAGAGAACACTGTTTAATCCCATATGTCGTATCTCCGCGCGAGCTCAAAAGTCACAATTCTAGATCTGTACCCTTCATAGGAGCATACCGGGGTCCTGGGCTAGCTCATCTGCTCAGGTCATTTCAGGCTCTCCAATGCTCAGCCTGCACAGTCAAGTGACCAAATGTGATTGAGCGGTGAGAGACCCAATCAAATGTGAAAAACACAATGGGAACCATCCCTTTGGATAATTCTGATCCCAGGAATGGCACTGAAGACTAGGTGAGAAGCTGACTTGAACTGAGCATCCCCTCAGCCAATGCTGAGTGACATCCTTAGGATACTTCTGATCCCAGGAATGACACTGAGGACTAGCTGAGCAGCCCCTCAGCCAATACTCAGTGACATCCCTTGGATCCTTCTGAAGGTGAGTCTGAGTATACAGTGATGTGTCAGCGGGGTCCCGAGCACTCATCCATGCTCAAGAGATGCTCATCCAAGATGAAGATGGGCATGCTTTAGCAAACTCAAGCAATACCTAAGTATTACAGGCTGAGCACATTGGAACCACCAAAATGGTGAATTGAAAGAGTCTGAAGGAAATTGAAACATTTTTGGAGTCATCAGGAAGGTACCCTCTGCTCACATCTATATGAGCTTCTATTTTTTCCCCTGTGCTTGCAGCCAACTATTCAAAAGTCAGACCTTTCAAATTTATGAAAAGTCCGCTGTGGATGCTCTAAGCCCCTCTGCAAGGGCTGTTATTCCCTAATCTGTCTCTCATCCTACTTTTCCTTCTGTTATCACCATGCATGCTTTTGACCCTGTTGATGTGCTTTTTGGTACTTTTCACTACTTTCCATTTCTTTTGTGTTCTACAAGCTATTGTATTCAATGGATCTGCCCCATATCTGTCCTCAACAATTACCTGATAAACACTTGTAGGCCATACCCATCTGTACTGGATCCGGCCACCACCACTACCTCACAGAACTCTTGTGTTGCAACAAGTCCTTGTCACCTATCATTGTATCACAGTTGCCTTATTTGTACTTTATAGAGAGATGGAGGGCTATATAAAGCCCCCCTCTCTCCCCCTGAAATCAAACCCCAAGTTACTTCTCTGTCACACTTACCATACCAAGATTGTGATAGAACAACAGGGCGCGGACGCGGCCGCGCAGAGAGAGCTTTGTCAAGCTGACCCCAAAACAGACCGGCCCCAAAAACCCTAAAGTTGCGGTTAATGCACTGACCCGGCCCCAACCCAATGAATTTGAGCTGTACCGGGGCCAACCTCCCCCTCAGCCCGGGCCAACCCGGTCCGCTAGTCCCAGTGATTCACACTGGGGGCGCGGCCTCTTTGTAGAAGGTGCGCCTACGCACCTTCTCTCCTAGGCGCCACTGGTGCGCCAGGCGTGATTTTTTAAATTAAAAATTGAGCCAAAATTGAGAAAGACTGGTCTTTTGATAAATTCAGATTTTAAAAGTAGCTTAAAGTACATACTGTAATAAACAAAAAATACCGGTGACAAAAACGTAAGATGACGGGAGAGATACAACTAGTCAAAATTGACATCTTTGGGGCTCTAAGCTCCAGGTGCACTGAGACCATTAGACTGGACTTGCTCAAAAGCTTGTGGTTGAAAGAAAGTCGGATCAAACTGATAAACCTGTCATCAAAAGCCATATCTAAGGCTGGGTTGACTAACATGTCCTCTTCTTGTGAGCGGTCCACACCTTGTTCAAACTCGTCAAGCTCATCTGGAGCCGAAAACAGTGGAGTATTCTCCGTTGGTGATACTTCAACAACATCAATCTCATTGTTTGATTGTTTGTTGAGACTTTTAGATCAATCAGATAATAAACCTGGGGGCATATCTGATGGTAGAATCAAACCTAACAGTCCCCCCCTCGCCGTGTTTGTTAGGTTTGGATACCCATACCCAATTTGGGCGCGCCCACCAATTTTTCGAGTTTTTGGGCGCGCCTAGGCGCGAGGCGCGTCTATTGGCGCGTTTTTTTTCTGCGCCCCCAGTGTGACCAGTGATGTGATCTGCTCAAAAAACCAAAAAAACCGTAAATATATGATAGATATATGATTTTTCAATTTTTCTTCTTGTCTTTAGCCCTTCCAAAAGATATCTAGCATCTAGTCTACAACAAAGAGACAAACAAACATGTCGTTTGTATATGATTTGATACTCTTTGCACCAAAACTTGCCCCCTACCATATGACCGGGCCAACCCGACCATACCCAGATCCTGGCCGGGACCCGCTCGAACCGGTCCCGCTCCCGGTCGGTGCATTAGTTGCGGTTCATCTGCAACGAAATGGTTGTTGCTGTGAAGCTTTCCTCGATCGCTCGGAAAAGCGAGAGCGATAAGGTCTCAGCTTTCGACAGGTCTTACACGAAGCTCGATCTATCATCAGTGTTGCGATTCGCCTCGCAATTTATACTTCTTTTGGCGTAAGAGCACTGATCTGGAGACTACCATGCAGCTTTCGGACTTGAATTCCCGCTGTTCTCTGCGCTCGTCCAGATTTCTCCTTAATTATGATTCTCATTCTAGGGCGAGAGGTGTCGTTCTGGTGGGATCCTGGGCTAAAAATCTGTCGTTTATGGCTCTCACTCGAGTAAATGAGGTGGAGAATATATACATAGATCGCTTCTCTCTGGAGGCCATGTCTCGCCTTTCTTTTTTTCCGCCCTCGTATAACTCTAGTACTTCTGAGCCCTTGCACCCTCATCAATATTTCCCTTTGCATAATCTTTTTACCTTCTAAGCCCCCTTGGGTGGTTACAACTGTGCTGCCAGCTCTTCGCGTCGCTTTTATATATCAGGCTCTCCACTCAATCGCTATTTACAAACTGGTTCTTGTTGACTGAAACCATGTCGCACGTCATCGCCACTCCATTCGGTCTCGGCCTTCCATATCCTGCTCTATTTCTCGTCCCTAAGAGAAAGAATACTAAGCGGCGTCCGGCTGACTACTTTTGGCAAAAGGCGACGGCACCCACCCTTCCCGTCTCTGATCGTCTATATGGAGACAATTCTCGGCTTAGTCCGGCGTCCCCCGCTACTTCTTGGCTCGATGAGGAAGCCGTTGCAGTCTTCAGCGATAGCGAGGACGAGCCCGTAATCCGAACGCCAGGACTTGCCCCTGCGAAGAAGAAGAAAAGCTTTGCCAAGATACGGGAAATCGCCTTTCGAGCATTCGTACCGAAGCCCGGCAGCACCAAGACCAGTACAGTCGTTGCTACCGAGATCGTCTCACGACAACACCCTTCACCCGACCATGCCCTAGCGAAAGGCAGTCAAGGAGGTTTCACTCTCTTCAACAGTTGGAGACTCAAGTCTAAAGGTACCAATACTAAAGTCATGAAGCTCTCGGCGATGGTCAAACGTCGTATTAACAGCAGAAGCCCCGCTCACCTGCAACCCAAAACCTGGGAGGAGTATGGCCGATGCTATGCCGCCGTTAGTATTTTTCCCGTTTTGTCACTGTTCTGCGGAGGTTCGAGCCGCATCAGAGCATGGCTAAATCTCTTTGATGCGTCTTACAGGAAGAAATTGACATCAACGACCCACCACTTCCTCCATCTGAACCTAATGCGGAGCAACCGACAGCTTGGGAAGCCAAGAAATATGCGCCACCACTTGCTGATGATGAACCAGTTCGCCAGCTAGTGATCAACCGATTAGGCGTCTTTGGTCCCGGGTTCGATTCGTCGGAAGATGCAGCCGCAAGAGCTGAACAACGAACCGCGTTAGCTGATAAACTTGAAGCAAGCGGAGAAGAACCTCGCGACCTCACACAAGCATGGGATAGAAACTTGACTGCCACAGAGTTTGGGCTTGACGCTACACGTGCAATGATGAGAGGTGTCCGATCAGGAAATCTCCCACCAGAGACACTCGAACAACACCCTGTTTTTCGAAAGATTGTTAGACAATGTCGAGAAATGTTTGATGCGAAAATCAGTATGCTCAGTGTAAGTTTGTGTATCCCTCTAATTTGATTTTTTACTCAGATTTGTCTCTTACCCTCCACTTCTTATCGAAATACAGATCATCACAGACGAATCCCAAATATTCTTGGCTGAGTCAGGTCTCACCCCTTTGCGAGCTGCCCCGCGTGAAATTACCGTTTGTATGTGAACATGTCTTCATGAGCTTCATGGCATAGACAACTAACGGCTCTGGCTCAATAGGTGCTCATACTGTTTTGAGTGGACGTAAGGGATTCACTATATTGGACACTAAAAAGGATTGGCGTTTTGCTGCTTCGCCCCTAGTCGAACATTACCGTGCCCGGTTCTACTCAGGTAAACCTCATTCACCTTGTTTTTAATCAGTGTTCATAATTTTTACTCACAGGTTGGCTTTGGTTACCATAAAGGTGTGCCTCTCATGGCGCCCAACTTGGACGGAGCAGTAGAATCGGAGGAGGCAGCCTGTCCCATCGGTACTCTATGTGTCATTGACGACAAGCCGCGTGAAGAGTTTGGTATCGAAGAGCGCAAGAAGCTTGTGTACATGGCTGAGTATGCACGTCGTGAGATTGAAGAATGGTTCAAGAGTAAATTGGCTGTGAAGATGGAGGTCCTCGAAGAATCACACAAGGTCTTTGTCGAGAACGTTGCTTTAGTTGAAAACGTCGAGGGTGATGCCCAAGGGACGCCGACAGAGATCGTCCATGAGGCAACCGGCGACAGTACTTTGACATCCACTCCTCCCACCTCACTTTCAGATGAAGGATCTATATCCAAAGCATCAGCCCCAGTCATCTTTCAGGGACCGAGTTTATTTGATGACCCAACTAGCCTCATCAAGCCAAACATGCAAAAGGTGTTTGATCTGGCCACGAAGCTCGTAGGCGACACACTCGACCTCTCTTTGGTTTATCTTATCGCGGTCGCGCCACATGGCGATTCAACTACTATGGGTCAAACCCTTGTCCTATCAGGCTTCAATTTGCCTTCACCTCCTCCTCAATTTGATGCAGGCTTGCATCTGCGCGTCCTTTGCACCCCTGAAGGCGGGTTGTTGTACCAAAATCCAAGTTCACAAGAAGTTCAAGAAGCAGGTTTAGACTCATTAGCAACCGCAAATCCTTACGCCTCAGCTATGCTTGTTCGTCTCGGCCCTGAACCAATCGGAAAAGCAGGTGGTTTCGTCATGGCAGGTTTTACTAGTAATCCCAAGCGAGTTTTTGGAGGTGAAGATGTCGCATATATGAAACAGTTTGCCAGCGAGCTCAATCGTTACACCCACAAGTTGAAATTGTGAACCATTCTTATCAAATGCGACATAGAGCCTTTGTGCAGTTTTTGTCTCCCTCATAATGTTCATTTTCATATATTCCTTGGACATATCATTGTTTGATATGTCCATCCGAGTCACTATTTCACAATTTTCCTGGTATTTGTCATTATTTTGTCTTATCTTAACACACCATATCTCACTTTTGTTATCATTCTTCAAATCCTGCCTTCCGATCTTCTTTACAGTCTTTACTTCCATATCTTGTAGCTGCCTCTATTTCTTTTACCTGGTGTGTAGCTTTATAATACTTATCGCAGGCAATCGTGGATCTCAAGGTGAGAGAATGCAATCCAGACCCGTTACTACCTTTACGCATCTATAAGAATGACTCTTTTGCCAGTTCATAAATGATTGACAGCCTATTCAATTCCATTTGCCAAATCATGAAGTAAGCAGGCAGAAAATTAAGCAAATGTTCATCACATTCATGTCTTTCTTTGGAGTACATAGCTAAGGATACCCAAACATATGTTGTTGTTTTGTGATATGAAAGTTGAAGGATCTTGAGTGACCGTACTCTATTCACTAAAAAGAATCATGGTGTGATAGGGCATGATGCTATACAGAAGGCTTCTCATGTCATTCTGCACCAATACTGTTTTTCTAGGACTTCTCTTCCAGCTCTTCCTGCCTAGTATCAGAATGATTGGTGATCAACATAAATCCTTGGATAAGGAGTCACAGTCACACCCGGGGCAAAAAATTGGCCCCAGGGCCTTAGCCTTGCCCCAGCCTCACCAAGTGAGGCCTAGGCCTTGGCCTCATACAGCTTTGCAGGGCTGAGGCCCAAGCCTTGCAGGTCCATGCAGCAAATGACGTAATGCAATGAATGATGGATCATTGGAGAAAGACACGCACCTGTAAAGCCAAAACACTTTTTCCTTCTTCATTGAGTGTTTTAATATCAAATTCCTGTACCATGCCAGCTCTCCGTTGACATGAAACACGTATTGTTTCAAGACCAAGTCCGTACCCCTCAGGCTCTCAGTCAACATTTTCATCAACTTCAAGCACACAATCAACTTCAATCTCCGAATCAGAAATCACAACACCACATCACCTATCTCAATCTACCTCTTTGTCGACTTCTGGAGAAATCATAAATGCGGATGTCTGGCTTCGTACTCACACACTTCCAAATACAGCAGACACATCCTCACAAAACCAGATCATTCCAACACTCTGCTCCAACGGTACACTAGAAGACAAAATTACTGAAAGACTACAGTCTGAAATATCTTTAGCAAAGAAATCTTGGGTGTGGAAACACTTCAATCTTGTTGTCCTGAAGATTACCAAGGAACAGCACCTCAAAACAGTATTGGAGGTCAAGTACCAATGTACAGTACATTTGCCAAGATCAAGCAACAAGTGTAACTCTCTGATTACACCATGCGGAGGCACTAAGTCTTTCATTCGACATCTCAATCATAGCCATAATATGGTGGATCCTAAAACAACCAGTCCCAATCATTCACCCACTGTTGACCAGGTAAGTACTCTCCTTGCTAACTAGGTAGAGCTTTGGTTGCTGAAAGCTTCGGATTTGTATCCTTTAATTCCATAGAACACAAGGATTACAGCGGAAACTGTCAAACAATCTCAACTTTGTCTCATTGTGATGGAGGAGTTGCCTTTGCGATTTTCCGAATCAGAAGCTTATCGATCCCACATCGCTTTCCTCAATCCCAGCGCGGCAAGCATGCTGGTGGGCTCAACAGCAACTAAAGATGCACTATTCAATATGACAGCACATTACCAAGAACACCTAGTCAAAGAATTCACCAATACTCACTATGTCAGCTTGACCTTTGACGGGTGGACTTCCAATAATCACTACCCAATCTTGGGAGTGACAGCCCATTGGATTGACCATCAATTTCGCACAAAATCAGTCATTCTGGATCTCATACATATCCGAGGCAATCACGGTGGCGAGAACTTGACCGATCATCTTCTGAAAGTCATTGATACATTTAATATCAAAACCAAGGTCTATTGTATGACAGCTGATAACGCTGCTGTCAATGGTGCAATTGCTAGAAGACTTGAAGGTCACCTTGCCCATTTCACCCGGCGCGAAAATATGTTTGGATGTATAGCTCATGTAATCAATCTGGTGGTCAAAGAAGGCTTGAAGATCTTTACTGGAAAAATCAACATCAACCGAATCACCATACCGGAGGACATGGACGAGGAAAACCTTTTTCAGATTACAACTGCGACTGGTACTGTAGTTTGGAAAGTAACTCAAGCTGGTCACTTATATAAGACTCGACCTGAATTTGCCGCTGACATACGATCAAGCACAAAGGCTCTTTACAATAAAGAGCTTGGACTCAAGACTGAATGTGAAACAAGATGGAACTCGGTTCAAGCGTGCATCAAACGGTTTTTACAAATCAAACAAGTCCTTATCATCAAATTTGACAGCGACTCAAATCTTCAACACATCCGGCTTTCATCTGACGAATGGGACCTACTTGAATGTCTCAATACATTTCTCAAGCCATTTTCAATTATTAGCACAAAGCTTTCAGGCTCATCTTTGACTTTTCCAAAAGCAACCCCTGCATACGAGTCAATGATTGAAGAATTGGAGTTGGTAATTATGTTTTTCTCTCTTCTATGTGTCTCTGTCTCTGTCTCTTGCTCTTTTTCTTTCTGATTTGATGTTCGCTGACCTAGTCAATTCTATTCTCTTTCATATAGGCCGAAAGAAGTCTTGAAACCCATCCCGCCATATTATTAGCAATTCTGCCCATGCTTGAGAAGCTCCGCCAATATCGCAATGAAGCTCTAAAAAAAGCAGTGTATCTGTGTGCAGTCATGTTGGACCCTCGCAAGAGGTGTGAAAAGTTGTGTCCTCGGCTTATCACTATCACCGATGCCATCGCATTACTTGCAGGAGAGTGCAACCGACTTGCCCTCAACAAACCTGTCCGCCAGTCTACACACAATCAAAACTCTACCAAATTTGAATCTGCTCCTGACCATTGGGAATGGTATGGTTCAGTCCCTACCACGGCTACACTAACTGCTGAAGTGACAAAATATCTATCATCACCCTGCCAACATCACTCGACTAATCCCCTTGAATGGTGGAAAGTTCATCAAGGAGACTTTCCTAATCTGGCGATTGCTGCGAGTGCTATTCTCGCAGTTCCTGCTACCAGTGTTCCCAGTGAAACAGCATTCTCTATTGCAGGAAGAGTGGGTGATGACACACGAGGATCGATCAAACCAGGGACACTCTCAGAGCAGGTCTGTCTCAAAAGCTGGATGAAATTATTCGAAGAATTTGGCTTTTCACAAACATGAAAATCATTACGACTTGCAAATCATTCAATTAAAAATCTCATTATTAGCAACGCCGAGACAGCAGCGCAACGCCACGTTACGGGGCGGGTTGCGTGTAGAGTAGCTTTATGAGTTATCACAAAATTCTCCGATTTGTTAACGCTGCTCAAGTAGTTAAGCTATCCAAATTTGCGTAACTAATAAAAAGTCTCACCGCTATCTCAAGTTGATAACGTAACTACTAAAGTTACGTTACAGTTACGGTAGCTCGATAACTAGTCAAAAAATGACTTTCTCATAAAATTGTAAAGAAAAAGCAAACAACCCCTTCCCACCCTTAAGTAGCCCAGTTGTAAGTAATAAGAACACTGAAGAAAAAAGAAAATACATAACTCAAGGTCATGAGAATAAAAGACATAAGGTCACAAAAAATCTTTTACTCGAATATTTTCCACAACACTGAAAAATTCATCTCCTAGAGGTACTCCCTCAACTAACCACATACGGGTTGAGACAGACCTCTCTATGGTTATTGGAGCCAGACCCCCTCGACTGGCTGAACACACGTCAGCAGCTGCTGAAAACGTGCGTTCAGGTTGGGCCGAAGATCCAGAACAGGCCAAGTAGTCGCGAGCCATCAGCGCTATTATTGGGAATCTGGTGGGGTTTACCTAAAAATAATCAAAGCTAAGCATGAAGCGTGTAATAAACACTGGAATTGATGAGAATCTTGACTTACAGACCACCATCGCAGTGCTTCGCTTGGATTGCCAAGATCGTACTCGGGTTCTTTCATACGAAGACACCCTCGGAGATAATCCTTCACCTGGGAATCATCACCAAGGTCCTCGTGGTCTCCATCATCATCGCTATAAACATCAAACATCGCTGAAGTTGAGGGCTTTGTGACACCACTCTCATCAGATTCCTTATTTGAGGGCTTTCTTGTGGTCGATGCCAATTGATATTCTTCAAATAATCGGTTGAACGTTGCTTCAGCTTGTATATAAGTTTGAGATGTCTTCTCGAAAAATTTATCAAAATACTTCAGTCAAAAGGCCGGATGAAGGATAGTGGCCATGATGAGAACTTCGTTTGAAAGTGCTTCATCTAAGTAGGTTTGCACTTTGGTGATCATTGCCTCGATCATCGGATAGAGCGCATCACTTGATGACATCTTGGATTCCTGATCTTGCAGCTTGGTGCGCAATTGAACGTACTGAGGTATTACCATTGC